TCAATGCGTCGCTCTGATAGTGTAACACTGGGATGTGAATACCATATTTTGTTTTGTGTTCAGCAAGTTGTTGAATTTTTTATTTTATGATTTAAAATGAAGTCGATTTTTATTCATGAGACAATTAACGATGTGTTGAGATTTATTTCTGCTACTGTAATTGATTTTTAAAAAGACGTTATGCTAAAAAAATGTGACACACCTTTTGAGCTAATTATTCCGCATGTTTTAAAAATTAAGTGTTTGGGGTTTAGAATCATAGCTCGTCAACGCACCGCCACCTTTCTTAGTGAGCAAACCCTTACTTCACCATGAATTAACTTATCCTTGGAGTGACATCTGGCTTCTTGGGCTCACTAGGTACCGAATTCTCTCGCTTTGCTTGCCTGGGCTTAGTAGGCACACTAGGCGCATAATCCTCTCGCTTAGCTATCCCGATGATTGTTTTTGGCTTAGCCAAGATTTTCGTACCTATTTCTAGCTTAGCTGGCTTTGTGCCAACTTGGACTTTAAAGATTCATGTTGATGTTTTATCGGTCCTTTTTGTCTGTTCTCAATAAATACATAGTTAAAAAGTTCATACGAGTGTTTTGTCATATCTTTTTGATAAGTTGGGCTTTTCTCATTGATTGCTTGTAAAAATAGCCAACAAGTGTCTACATATTTTACCTATTTTTGGAACTTACCAATGATCCATGACTGATGGTTATCTTGTGATGTTACTTAGATAGAATGAAAAATGTTTCTACAGTTTAGGCATTGTCCAACAGTGGGAAACACTAAGCCTTTTGGAGAGATAAATCAGTGAGAATATGATTATGATGATAAACTAACTATTGATCTAGACATGTTCTGAAATCTTACTTTGAAAAACAATCTTTTCATATCAATGCCATGATTTGATGATAATTATAATGTTGATTATGAACTTGCATTATAAAGAGAATCATGTCATAAAACAACACGTTTTCAAAATTTTCTGATCAAGTCATTTAACTTCTTCTAAAACATGCATTTTGAATTTCTTCTGAATCATTTCAATGGATATTGTTTGAAGACAAACAAAAAGACAAGTTAGAGAGAGTTGATAAGTGCCAAAAATATGTTAATTATGTAGGCACTTATTAACTTGGTTCACAAGAAATCAAATGAAAACCCGTGATTTATCAGTAAAAAGTGACAAAATGCATGTCTGGATATTTTAACTGTGAATTTATTAAAAATAGACAAAAAGGATCAAGAAATCATCAACACAAAACAAAATACCAAACCAAGAACTTTCCTAATAAATCAAGGCTCACTAAGCTAAGAATTTAAGCGTGTTAAGCGAGTAAAGGTGCAACCTTGCTAAGCCAGGAAACACATGTACGCTTAGCAAGCAAAGGTGGTTCAAAGAAGTTATGGTTAAGTTGCTTCAAGGTGAAGTAAAGGTTTTGGTGTATAAGAGAGCGTGAGCGGTGCAAATAGCGAGCATAGACAAAAATGTTAGTCCTAGGTTATCTGGAAATACTTAACCTAGGAGAAAGTAAGCATGCTAAGCGAGCCTGAGCGATACACTTAGCGAGCTTACCTTTTTCAAACTTATTAATAGGGGTGCTAGGCAATCATTTAGAGAGAACGAAAGTTAGTGGATTCTAGGTGGTTCCTTAGTCAAACCAGGTTCTCACTCCAAATCACAACATGAGAGAATAAGAGAGGAAAATCCAGAAAGGAAGTGTGGCCTAAGGAATCATCAACATATACTTTTCAACTTCTTTCTTTTATGACTTGATTATAAAATTACGATGAGTAAATGTAACTAATTTTATCTTTTGTTGGGGTTAAATGTAGTTTCTCTATTACTTATATTTTGATCCCGACCATAGCGTCCAATGTACTTCTTAAATTTTAATATTGATAGATACATCGTTCTTAAAACTTGTTTTGAATTAGCTACTTAAAACATATTTTTAAGATATGACTTGATATTCGAAAATAAGCTTGTTTTAAATTAGCTACCTAAAACATATTTTTAAAATATGACTTAATATTCGAAAGTGTAACACCCTACATTACCTTAAAAAATATACTCCTTCCTGTTTGATTTTAAGGAACTTTTTCTATTTTCACTCTTATTAAGAAATCTTAGTTTTGTGTAAATATTGAGTTGTAAGGACTAAATTGTCTTCATATAGCATTAAATGAAACACATAGAAAAGGGTAAGACTATAGCTACACGTTTTCTAGTTATACTACTGTATGACTATGACTAGAGTAATTGATTGCATTACTTTATTACACTATAACTAGTAATAGATTATTTTTTTATATTACTAGAACTTGAAGAAAGATGACATTTGCACGTTACATACTCCAATTTATGAAATTTAGCTTCAATAACTTTACACATTCTGATCAAATTTGGAAAATTAGTTTGAAACTCATTCTTTCATCAATCACATAAACAATAATGTTGATATCTCTCTAAATGAGGTGACATGCAATTTTTCATGAACTATTTTAAAGGAAACATGATACATAATGCTACTTCTACTTTTCTGTTTCTATTTTAAATGGTGAATTTGTTTTCATTCAAGATTCTTATTCACTGTTTCAATAAAAATAAAGATATGATAGTGCATTATGCTAGTTATATTTATAATGTTGCTAAGATTCTTGTCATATTAAATTAGACTGGTTGCTTTATTTTCTTAGGGAAAAATTGGATTTTTTTAATTGTTAAGCTCATGTTAAAGGAAGGAGTATTATTTGGGTTTATAGTAGAAATGAAAATATTGTTAAATATATTTTTCACATTATGTAGTTGCTATGGATAAGCATTTTATTGGTTTGTAATTATACTTTTCTTTTTAGTATTTTGTAATAATTCAAATGCTTATTTTTTTTATAGGAAATGTTGTTAATGAAATATAATCATTACTAAAAAAACGTTTTTTTTTTACAATACACAACGAAGAATTATTTCTGAAATATTGATGAATTCATGTTATGAAAGAAAATTTAATTGTGGAATTGTTAAAAAAATGGCTTCTTCTTTCTCAATTTCTATTGACGTTATTTATCAAATTTGGAAATATATTAATGAAATAGGTGATGCATGCAACAAGAAAACAAAAAAATATGGCCGTAAAAGAGTTGAGATAGACTTTGAAAAAATTCGTGATATTTCGTTGCCTAAACGTAGCACTTTTAGATCTTTAGCAAAAACTTTAGGTATTAAAAGCAAATCAATATTGAAAAAATTATGTAACTGAAGGTGTATTGCGTAAGTGTTGAAGCCGCATATGAAAGATAGTAATACGAAGCAACATCTTAGATCCTGCTTGAGCATGTTTGAGGAAACTAGCGTTCCTTGTGATCCAATTTTTAAATCCATATATAATATTGTGCACGTAGATGAAAATGGTTTTATATGTCAAAAAATTCAACAAATTATTACCTTCTTGCAAATGAGGATGATCCATATAGAAGTTACATAAACAAAAATTACATTCAAAAGGTCATATTTTTAGTAGCAGTGGCTAGACTCAGATTTAATGACGAAGATAATGTGATATTCACAAGAAAAATTGGTGTATTTCCCTTTGTTGATAAAGTACCAGCAATAAGATCAAGTATTAATCGAACACTAGAGACACTTGAAATAAAACTGATTACTTCTATCACTAAAGAAGACAGTCAAATGTTTTTAATAAACAAGATTTTACCGGCCATAAAAAAAAAGGCCACGAGAGCATGCTCGTGAGACAATTTTTAATCAACAAGATAATGCACCATGTCACGTTTTTTTAGATGATGAAGAATTTCATAGAGCAGCTTTTAAAGGAGGCTTCGACATTCATTTGATTTGTCGATCGCCTAATTCTCCCGGTTTAAATGTTTTGGATTTAGGTTTCTTCATTGTCATACAATCATTGCAACAAAAGGAAGTTGCTAAATCAGTTGAAGAGCTTATTCAAATTGTGGAAAATGCTTATGAGTGTTTTGATTATAAAAGTTTAAATATGATTTTTCTCACACTTCAATCGTGAATGTTTGAAATTATAAAGAATAAAAGATATATAATAATTATAAAACTCCTCATATGAAATTATAAAGAATAAAAGATATAATAATCCTAAAGCTCAAAAAATAAAAAAAACTCAAAATTTCTATTTTTGTCTAAATCAAAATTCAATATCAAGTAACCTGATTCGACACTTCGACATCTAAAGTTATTCGACGCACACACTATAAGTTTCGACATATCCTTATTTTTGTCGAACACTACCTCTCTCGACACAAAAATTTAAACACATTTACTGTATAACACCAACCTCCACTCATTCTAAGCTCAATCAAGATGTGTGTTTACCTATGTTAGGCTTTGAATCAACTAATTTTCATGTTTCATTTTTCAACTCTATAAATAGTGTTTAAGTTATTTCACTATTTATACCAAAGTTTGATACATTTATGAAGTTTCTCTTATGTCTCTAGCCAATTCTTTCCCATCCTATGTGTCCCTTTTAGAAATTGTCCCTTCAAGATAACTTATGTCTTTGTTATATCTGAAGGTGTAATTCTGAACGAATTGGGAGTTTAATGTACTTTATATTTGATTGTTTTATCATAGTGATATAGTTTTAAATTGGATTATTTTATTCTAGTGATGTCATAGTTGATAGTGATAGTTGTTGTATCCTAGCTAGTCACAATTTTAGCCAATACCACAATATGTATTAAAGAAAACAACCTAGTATATATATGCAACTTAACCTATAGTAATATCTTGGGTGATAGAAATATTTTATAAATAATTTAATCCAAAAACCAAAACTTATAAGCTATCAAGACCTCTAAAATTGCTCTTTATAAATGAAGAACTATAATTTTCTTCTAATTAAAAGGCTCTGCAAGCTAGAAGTTAATTCAAATACCACCATACTAGTCCATCTTTGGATTGATATAATACAATTATCATCAGATTATTGAAAATAGAGTCCTAACTCCTAAGCCTTTCAAGAACTGAACTTGTTGCCAGCATTACAATTTGGTAAGCATTTCACAAGTACATTACTAGGACCTGGTTTATAGGTAGAGAAAAATTCAGGATCCTGCTCGAGTGCATCAGTATATCTCTCCAAATTTGAGACTATCTCGACAAAATGTGGCCGTTTATTTGGATTGCTTGACCAACATCTCTTGATGAGATGACTAAATGCCAATGGACAATCAGATGGTAATGGAGGCCTTGCATTCTGCACAATTTTTCGATAGTTAGAGATCAACGCGTTCACGCAGTCAACATATCAGTAACCATTGAACTAAGATTGAATGGTACGATTTAAAGTCAGATACTTGATATATAAAAAACAAAGCAAAAATCGGTATTGAAATCTAAATCGAGGCGTAATATAGTAACGATACCTTGTGAGTTACTGCATATGCTGCCTGTTCTGGTGTCATGTTATCAAATGGTGTGAGTCCTGTTATTAGCTCCCATAGAACTATGGCAAAACTATAGACATCTACTTTCTTTGTATGGCGCTTTTCTCTGATCATTTCAGGCGCCATCCAACGGTAAGTTCCAGTGAATCCTTTTGCGCTTCCGGTTTGAGATTCTAAGCATGAGATCCCAAAATCTGCCACTTTTACACACATATCTTCATCCAACAGCAGATTTTCTGATTTGAGATCCCTATGAAGTATTCCTTGAGAATGAAGATATTGCATCCCTCTTGCAATATCAAGGGCTAACTCAAGAACCTGTTTCGGAGGAACTGAATGTGGCCCTTGTTGTTGCAGGTATTTTCTCAATGAGCCTCCAGCCATATATTCAGTGATTATACAGAATACTGGTGGCTTCTTGCAAGCTCCAACAAACTACCATAATACAATTATCAATCAAAATGTTAATAACTGAAAATATGCTTCATTTTTTCATTATTTAGCAGTTGTAATAACCGTGTAGACTCTTAATACACTCCCTCGCGCCAGACTTGACATCTGAAGCGTGGAAGTAACTAGTGAGTGGTCCGATAATGGAAACCTGATAACAGGTGACCCGACTCATTTTAATAAAGGCTCTAATACCATGTTAAAAAAATGTAGTTTGAGCCTAACTCATCTCTACTTATAAGCACATGTTCAGGCCATATACAAAACTACAATTTCAAACTGTTGTCGTCATATATAAAAATAGAAATCAATGAAGAAATAGAGCTTACAGTAATGATATTCGGATGGCGCAACCGAAACAACAAAGCAACCTCAGAAGTGAATTGTCTCTCAAGCAAAGCAGCCAACTCCTCATCCTCCTCCGGTTGACTCACAAGCTTAATAGCCACATCTATGTTCTTGTACAAACCTCTATAAATCCTGCTATGTCTCCCAGAATCAAATTTGGAACCAATAAACAACTGAGATAAATCAGCATTCCAATCATCTTCTTCATTTCCCTTAATAGCTGCTCCAGAAGAAACTAAATACTTAGACCATGACACTGCTCGTTTGTATTCCCCTAGTGAAAGTCTTCTACCTGTCCTTACATTGTTAGAAAACTCTTTCAACCAATGCAAATTCTTCTTCATGCTTCAAATCTTGAAAACTTGAAAACTATACTAAAATTTCAAACAAAAATGAACCATTTGCATGATGATAATAATTATATTATAGTACTAGTAGTTTTCATAATTAGGAAAACAGATAACTAATGATATCACAATGGTTTTATTATTGTTAAACAATGAAAGGGCAAAAATGCAAAGAGCTGGCTCTTGCCACTCTTTGTAATAACAGTGACAGTACCATCTACGTTCCTAACGTGCGAAGATATACTTATGAGGAGACAATCTGGGTCTACATGATCATGACCCTTATCTTACTCTATCATACTTCCTAAATTTAAAATTATTTGTTTTGTCCCTATAGTATTTCAAGCTTTCAAGGCTAATAATCTACATAAAAAGTGCTTATTTTTAGCCTCTAGTACTAAAAGTATACGGCTTTTGATGTAAAAAAAGAAAAGCATACAGCTTTAGTATAAGATGAGCATCTTTCTTAAAAAAAAAAAAGAGATTGTATAAGTGGAGAACTAAAATTGACAAAACTTTTTATTAAGGTTTAATTTAAATAAAGAAATTTATAAAAACTAAAAAATAAATTTAATATTGTTTATTAAACTTAAATAAATAATATCCACCAATGTGATTAGGGTAACGATCTGACCAACTCCATTTAAAGTTCAAAAATAGGACGGGGCGGGACAACTTAAGTATTTGAGTTTAAAAGTTAAGTCCGTCTTATTTATTAATGAGTTGGTGGATTGATGGACCGACCCATCAAACTTTTTTTTAAAATTCAATTTATTGATTTTATTACAATTTTTTTTTAAAAATAATTTACTATTCTATTTAGTAAATTTAATTTACTAATTAGTTTACAAACTTTTATATTTTGTTGATTTTTGATTTCATATCTCACTATTATATAACAAAATATATAAAGAGTTGTAGTATTTTACTAAACAATAATAAAAAAAAGTTTACTATTTCGTTACTTCTTAATTTTGTAATTCCTATCTCATAAATTATTGAGCTTTACGGTTGCAACTTGTGTCCACCATCCATGTAAGCGAAACAACATGAAAATAAAATTTTCAATTTATGGTGACGTTAGATATAAGTATTCAAATTTTAATTTTTTATCAATAAAAATAAAATTAGTGGGTTAGCCTCCTCAATACATTATTTAATTTTTATTCAAAGTAAAAATAAATTTAAAAAAAAATTCTGCCGGATTAGGCAAGTGTTTACTTAAAAATTTAGTAAATAAAACAAGTTTCTATTAATACTTAAAGATTTAAACTCGAAAATATTTCAGTACATATTTGTGTGAATTATCACCTTTGAACATCATGTTGTTATTAAAATCTAAACACGCTGTTTGGAAGAAAATAGTTTTAAACTTAGCTAAACTTAGAATGAAAAAGATTTTGAAAAAAAAAACTGAAATCGAAATATAAATGAAAATGAAATGACAAGAATCGAAAAGTAACTTAAATGCAAATAGACTTGAATGTAAAATACTTGAAGTTTATAAATGTGGAACGCGTATCTATATTTCTCACTCGTTTCTGAATCACGCAGATGTTAGATTAATTATATAATTAATCAAATATGGATTGACATAATTAATTATTAATTAATTATATTCTGGTATATTGTTATTAAACACTAAATAGATGAATAGATGAATTGTTTGATTGGATTTTGTGTCTGAACGGATCGTAATGGGTTGGACCATTCAGTTAAGCCCAATGAGAGGTCTTTACCCTCAGCCGTTTAGCTATTTAAATGTCTCCCCATTAGACAATTAAACTACTCTAAAAATTCTAAACGGCAACGAGGGTAATAATTCTCTCATACTCACAAGTTTCGACAACATGCTATAATTTGTATCTATTAAATTCATTTAAATCCTTCAATTGGTATCAAATTCATTTAAATCCTTCAATTGGTATCAGAGCTCATTTAAATCCTTCCATTTAAATCCTTCCATTGGAGAGCTCCTGAATCCTTCCATTGGAATCCTTCAATTGGTATCAGAGCTCATTTAAATCCTTCCATTGGAGAGCTCCTGAAGGGTATCAGAGCTCATTTAAATCCTTCAAATTTAAATAATTAAACTTGATGCACTAATTTTATATAATTCATATTGAATGTAAATGGTGGATTTTCTTAAAAATTTAGATCTAATATTTAAATAATTTGATCTAATGATTTTAGAAATTTATTGACAGGTAAATTTCATATTTAGAATCAAGATATATTATATTTTAGATGTATATTAGTAAAAGGTTGTTATGTCTCACCTATTTTTAAGGTTTGATTCCTAAATAATTGCATTTTATTGTGGGTGGAATGAGAATTATTTAGAAGAGTTTGAAAAGGTGATCATATTTTTTAGCTTAATAATTAATATCAAATATTTTATTTATTTTTGCAGAATATTACTTAATTGATTTATTTATAATCTCTAACATACAAAAGTGGTAGATTTGTATGATCTCTCCAATTATTTTGTTAACTTTGAAAATTATGATATATTTATTATGTTGACTAAAAGATTATGAACGAAACATATTTTAGATATTTCGTTGCAGAAATGAATTTTGAATGACAAATTAGTTATTTTATTCAATATACTTTTAAATACTTTTGTTTAATATTAGTTAATAATATAATAAATTTTGGTTGTAATATCTTTGTATATCATGCTACTCTCTATGATCTAAGTTTTTTTGATCTAAGTTTTTTTGAAATTATATAAGAGAGTTAATTCAAAGTAAACATGTTTTGAAATTATCAGTAAATATAGGTGATGAACTGAACAATTTGTTTTCTAACCACACGTGCATAGTATATTTCTAATGCACCACACGTGCATAGTATATTTCTAATATATTTCTAATGCACCACACGTGCATAGTATATTTCTAATGCTGACGTACAATATATTGCCAAATTATTAACCTTTTTCATTCAATTTAATGATGAGGAACACACAAAATTATGATTTTTTGGGAAGTTTTAAAACGTATTATAAAATAAATTAGTCACTTTGATGAATGAATTTATACTGACATGATACTATATTTATATTAATTTCAATAATTAATTAATTAATTAAGACGTAAAGAATTGTTTTTGATTTTAATATAAAATTCTTTTTTTATGTTCTTTTATGTTAGTGAATATGATATTGGCCTATAATCTTGTTTCTATATAAGCTTCAACAACTCTCTCCTAAGTTGATGCCAAATAAATAGTATTAGATATTCTATTTATTTTGATGTTTTGGAATATTCCAATATTTAAATATAATATGTTATAAAATGATTGATTTAATTCAAATTTTAAATATATTTAAAATTTTCATATATAATGATTTTGAGATACTCTTTAATAAAATTAAATTGTATTATCCTTGAATTATGATTATTTATAAATAGAGTTTTATATTTTGATATAACGATTTATTCTTTGTTTATGAATCATTTTGAGATGATACTATAATATTCTAAAAGTCATTAAAGTTTAATACCTCTACTCACAAGGATAAATGTCACATTCTCTTTGAGGTTAGTTGTATTTGATTATTTATTAATTTTGAATCTCTTGTGACTATTATATAATAATTGCATACAAGGAGGAATTTCTTAAAATATTATTCACTTCCTTTTGAAATTAAAATTATGCAATTATATATATATATATATATATATATATATATATATATATATATATATATATATATATATATATATATATATATATATATATATATAAATTGAAATCTTATTATTTTATGACTTTTATTATGGAAAATTAAGTAATCAATATTAATTTGTATAATTGTAATTTCACCTATCGTGAATACAATTATATAAATTTTCCTATTTTGAATAAAAAATAATTAATCTTAATTTGCATGATTGTAACTCACCTATCGTGGTACAATTGTTCAAATTTTGTTAAATTAATTTTAGTTATAATAAATATTATATTGATAATAATTATACCCTATTGGTATATTATTATTAGTATAATTTGTTTTGTTTAATGCACTTATGATTTATGATTGTGTAAATTATAGTTCAAGTACCCTATCAGTATTAAAAATTTCAAGTACCCTATCAGTATTAAAAATTTTGATGACATAATATTTATACATTGTTATATTTCTTATTTCATATTGTTGAAAGTATTATTTAAGAAAAAAAATATATTTTTGAAGACATGTAATACTTTATGAAATCCAATAATTTTTTTTATTAAAATGGATTTCAATTCTCTATGTATTATGTGAGTGATGGACATACTCTATCGGTGTGACATTACCAGAATGATTATTGTGTGATACAGAAAATAGTTGGATATTTGTTTAAATTTTTTAAAATTCTAATATTAATAATTCAACTATTATTCTCTATCAAGTGGGAGAATTTAACATGTCAATTATATAGATTTCAGAAACAAATATTATTTGTTTAATATATAATATTATTTTATTAAGACTTATATTGAGGATATTTTAGTCTTATGCTATATCCTCAATATTAAATTTGATTAAAATCTCATATTTTTCCGTTGCGTATAACGTAATATGTTTCTCAAATGTGTGTAGTTATACTTATAGCATTTTAGTTTTGAGCGAATTATGAATTTGATCTCACAAGGTAAATCTTTTATAGGACCATCATATTCTTTCATGTAAATTATCTAAATAAAGATATATTCTATTGACGTGCAAAATATGTGGTTGAGTTTGATGATATATTATAGAATCACTTCTCTGTATAATTTTGCACTAAAAATAACATTAGCACCCCTGTTGTTCAATCAGAGTATTTAATATTAGTGGCCTCTGATAAATCCTTATCATATTGGATTAGTGGGAGTGGATTGCATGTGAACACAATGATATAATCTAAAATTTTGGATTATTATTCTCATAATATTCTTGCGCGCACGGTAAATATGACATATTCTAAAAGGACTTCAAAATATAAAATAATTATAAGAAGTCT